TTTTTTTTTTTTTTTTTTTTTTTTTTTTTTTTTTGAAGCTTTGTTAACAGATAAAGCAGCTTTTTTAGTAAAGTACATTATACGCCAATTTTTTTTGTTCTTCTTTTTTATTCGGGAGTTATATGTACTTTGTGTATGAATTTGACATTTTTCTAACTGTAAAATTTAGACGACGGTTACGGTGGGCAAGGAATGGGTGGAAAACAACTTAATTTGCCTTCTTCGAGTAATATACCAATGGTACTCAGCCCTCCAACACCAGCGCAAAATGCAAGACAGGGTTCGAAACATAAAGGTGGTCACGACTCGGAAAATGCTGGTTTGTCTATTGGATTAAAAATTACTTTTGTTAGAGGATCTAGTAATTTTCAATTCAATATTATTTTTTAGTATTAAATTCAAAATTACACATCTCAAAAATTTGCTTCTGTAGAACGTAGCCAGTTTTATCAGATTTTCCTTCTTTTATTTTATTCACATGGTTTTGTATTTTGAGAAGTAGTGAGGCAACCTTCCCGTCGTTTTGAATTTTCTGCGGTAGTATTATTCCAGTACAATGAAAAATTTTAAGTTAGATTTGATACAATAATGCTTTATGACGGACATTAAGTTTTTAGGTCCTAACGGTGCTAAACGACCAAGACTGGTTTTCACCGATATTCAGAAGCGCACTTTACAGGTATGTAATAGATAATGATTAAAGAATACTGAGGAGAATTTATAAAAAACTTTTTTCAGGCTATTTTTAAAGAAACTCAGAGGCCAAGTCGGGAAATGCAGCAGACTATCGCTGAACATTTAAGGCTAGATTTATCTACAGTTGCTAACTTTTTTATGAATGCACGAAGACGATCGCGAAGTGGTCCTCTTCAAGGAGACGCACCAGCACCCTATCAACAGGTTTTGTCTTCTCGATGAGATTTTAGTTTTACTTCCCTTTGTTATACCAAAGCAAAAATTAAATTTTTTTCAATATTGTACTTGGTTGCTCTGTTCAATTCTTCATTTTGCCTGAGCTTTGAAAGTTTTATAAACAGACTTTAAATAACAGTCACACCAAATCTTATTTTTCAAATGCAATCACATTGTCGGTTGCGGCACAAATAAACCTTGCATTTTTTTCATCAATTGCAATTTTTGCCATTCTGCTTTTCTTGGATGAGAAATTTTTCTTAGCAAAAAAAAAGATTAATTTTGAAATTATCATAAATATTATGGCATATTTTCAGCGGTAGGATGACACTCATGCATATTTTGTCACAAATGTTGTTGACTTCTAACTTTTTTTACCGGTAACTTTCAACAGTGGTTTTTCAGGTACGCCCTATCACTCCTCCCCCGGATTCACCACCACAACGTTCTGTTGGTCGTTCGCGGGGTAGTCGACACGCGGCTCGTATCGAAGTTGAAACAACCAATTCAGTTGCCACCAGCTCGCATATAGAAAACACTGTTGCCCAAGTTGCCGAAGAGGCAGCTGAATACGCACGGACTGTCGACCAGGTGAGTACATTTTGTTGTTAT